AATTAGCTGCCAGCACTTTGTATTTATAATGTTTTATTGTTTGGTACAATATTGTGTATTTTAATGTATTTATGCTTTATGGAAGCCGCCCTGAGCCCGCTTGTGGGGAGGGCGGGGTATAAGTTTAATAAATAAATAAAATAAAATAAATTTACCTTTACCTAGTTGCAGCTAAGGTAGAAAACCACCTCCTCCTATGCCATGTCTTCTGCTTTCCAAGAGTCTGGGAAACAGTTCCATAGCCAGTTGCAGGGTTGCCAACTCTGGGTTGGGATATACCTGTAGATTTGAGGGGTAGAGCCTGGGGAGGGCAGGGTTTGGGGTGGGGAGGGACCTCAGCAGGGTATAATGCCATAGGGTCCTCTGGCCAAAGCAGACATTGTCTCCAGGAGAACTGAACTTGGTCATCTGGACATCAGTTGTAATACCTGGGAAATTTTCTGTAGGGGAAATGATGTGCTGTGGCTGGGGAGATCTCCAGGCCCCACAGGGAGTTTGGGATATGTATTTTACCTCAGGACTCCCAACAGCAACAGCAGACTATTTAGAAAGTTAGAGGCAAAGCCCAATCAGGCCAAATATGCAAATGACCTCTGTGTTCTGACTGGCTATGGGGGGGGGGAGAGGAACAGCAAACTGTTTAGAATGTTGGAGGCAGGACTCAGGCAACACAGCCAGTGGATAGGGAGACCCTCTGAATGACAGATCATTCAGCCAACTGATTTTGGAGCATGTTGGAATGTTCAGGGGAGTCCATGACCAAAACATAACTATATATAAGGAGAGATAACTGTATAGTAATATGTATGCTGGGTTTTCGGAATTCCCAGCTTTCATTGACAAAAAATCTCTAACACCTTCCATTGCAGAGATATGCCTTTCCCTTTATAATTCTGCAACAGAAGTAGATAAGAACTTACTATTATTTTAAACCAAAAGAGGGAAGTTTAGAGAACTGTGTGCACATACTGGTGGTGAAATTGTCGTGAATTTGCTGCTGACTCATGGCAACCATAAGTGAGAGTCAGTTTGGTGTAGTGGTTAAGTGCGCAGACTCTAATCTGGGAGAGCCAGGTTTGATTCCCCAATCCTCCACTTGCAGCTGCTGGATGACCTTTGGGAAGCCATAGTTCTGTCAGAGCAGTTCTTGAAAGAGCTCTCTCAGCCCCACCTACTTCACATGGTGTCTGTTGTGGGGAGAGAAGGGAAAGGGGTTTGTATGTCGCTCTGAGATTCCGAGTGAAGGGCAGGTATAAATCCAAACTCCTCCTCCTCCTCCTCCTCCTCTTCTTCTTCAACCCTGACAAAGAACAAACACAGGTGGTTTACCATTGCCTGGCTCTGTGTAGCAACAATGGACTTGCAAGGGAGGATGCTGTCATAATTGATGTCACAAAAACCCCATCTTTTAAAAAAAAATGGCATTAAAACATCGATACATCAGTATACCATTGAAAGTTTCTAGGTCCTTCCTTTGTGGAGCTATGCCCTTTTTCCTTATATCTCAGCTTTCTTTAAGAAGATAATTTTGATCCCAAGAGATAATTTGTTTTCATTATCCATGGAAATATAATTTAGAAAATAAGAGTTAGGATATCTGTAAGAACATACAGAATGAAACTAATCTAGAATACTGTGAAGGGTGACTCGCAAATCCCTTTCTGTTCCCTCAGGTAGGTCACCAGGGAGTTGGAAAACCTTGTAGTCCTCCCAAGCTGCTGCACAGTGACACCACCCCTTCCCCCTCATTTCCCAGCAGACACCAAAGGAGACTTGGTAAGTTCTGTTGCCACCAGGGAGTCATAGGGTATTTCCTGCTAAAGAGAGTCACACCTGCATTGCAGTTTAAAGGCTCTACCAGCTGCATCTTCCCACTTCACTCTGCCAACTAGCAAGGGATTTGTTACCCAAACCCTGCAGTTTCAAAGTACTGCACTCCAGGGATGGTGAGCTGACCTGTTGCTCCTCCCCATTACTGTGCTACCAATAGCAAGGCTGAATAGGTGTGATGTGGGTTCAGTGGACAGATTTAAGGAATTCATAATATGAGAAAGTTCAACAGATGAATAAGAGAATACACTTCTTCTGTCCAGGTTTTCAGGCTGAGTAAGGGAACAAAGAAAAGGTGAATAGATTCAATCCTCTATCTCTATGCTTGTGCCTCCCTTGGCTTGTGCCACCCTGATCCAAAGCTGTAGAAGAGATAGCTTCTTCCTTGTGCCCTGAGCTTAAATAACCTCTTTCTCCCTCTCCCCCCCCCCTTGGGATAAACTTTCTGTCCCTTCCTGTTCCAAAGGAAGAGTTTTCTTCTAGCCATTTGGCTCTTAGCAGTTTCTGTTAGGGATGGGCATGAACTGGGAAAATGCAATTCTTGTTGGTTCGTAGTTTGTGATGTGCCCGGTTCTTGAGCCAGGAACCATCTTGAACTTTTAGGTCTCAAATAAACCAGTTCCGTTTGTGACATGGTAGAATTCCTTCCAGCCATCTGTTAGCCGAGATACCGCTTTTTATGTACAGCGGGGGCTAAGGGGGGGTTTCGGCCCGTGTATACAGAGATAAGAATCAGAATGAGAATCCAACCCAAAGAGACAACGCGACAAGGTGTCTGTAAATCAGTTGTTCTCTTTACTGAATGGTATTTAATTCACAAGCACACAAAAACAGAATCACTCTTACATACATACAAATTTCCTATAGCAATAAAGAAAAGAATACAAAATTGTTTCCTTAGTTACTTGGGAGTCTGGGGTAGGTATTTCGCTCCATACTTGCCTGATCAGAAGCTGTCCTGTTGCAGTAGTAGATTGGAGACTAAGAAAAGGATTTCTTGGATCACTTGCTCTTCCACATTGCTTAGAACAAGCCAGCTAATGTGGGCATGAAATCTCTGCAGCTGTAAGGTTGTATATCTTCAGAGAGTTCACACACAAAGAGCCTTGCCTAAAAGGAAGGTGTGTGTGGGGGTTGGTAGCTGGAGAAGTGCAGAGTGCAGAGTGCAAAGTGCAAAGTGCACAGATTAAAAATGTGCTCTGTCAGTTATATTCCAGGTGGGAGGCGCTTTGCCTGTTTGGATCCCACCTCCTCTAAGACCAACCTATGATTACTCTGGGTTGGCTGAGTGTGTAAAGGGGCAGGTTTTCCCTAGGGGAGGGACAATGTTGTAATTCTAGATCTTAGCTCAAGGAATGCATCTGGTCAAGGTGGGTGGATGTTGTCAAGGCAACCTTTGACTTGTAAATCACTTTAGCTTGGTCCCAAGCTGTAAACAGGAAATAGTCTCTTCAGATGCAAACCAGATCCTTTCAGGGTTACCTGTTAGCTTGTAATCCTTCCATGGTGGACAAGTTGTTGTTTTTAATCACTCCTTGGCTGACCACAATGGAGTTGCCGTCTTCTTCCCACTGTGGCATTAGCATACCAGTGCAGACAAACCAGCAGCTTCCAGGTGCAACAGCCACATCAGCAAAAGTACACAGCATTCCCAAAACCCATAGAACTTGCAGGCACTGTCCAGGTGTGTGTGTGTGTATGTCAGCAAACACAAATAAAAAGCAATTTATTTGCACATTCCCCAACACATCCTAGAGATGTCGCACTTGCAGAGGATCTCTGTCTGACTCCATTCTACCTGCCCTCCCAGTTTGATGAGAATTGTATTTATGGGTTCTGAGTTATGGCCACCCCCAAGGAAGGTGCCTCCAAGAAAAGTACTTTCTGTGGAAATGACAGGCATATGTTCAGGAGTTTCAGGAGTGTATGGAACAGACTGTGCAAGCTAGAGACTTCAGATTCCATTCACGCACCACCAGAGACTGCTTGAAAGTCCATGGAAAGTCCATGCCAGTTGACCTGCCACTACCTTCCGTTTGCAAACCACAAACAAGCCAACATTCATCACAAACTTTAGATCGCGAGCAGGTTCATGCTCATCCCTAGCCTCTGTCCCTTGTGGATATGACCTGGCAAGTGAGGAAGGGAGCCATTGTCCTGCTTCCTCAAGACTCACTTGCAGAACCAAGAGCTTGATTGTCTGTGCTTGCAGCTTGCTGGCTCCCTACTTCAACCCCCTTTCTGTCTCCCAGCTGTAAGTCTGCAGATGAGCGGAGTGCGGTTACAATAACTGGAACCCACGAGGGAATTCCTAGGTGGAATTATACAGCTATTACCATAGACATAAAGTAAAAGGTAAAGGTTCCCTTGCTCGAAAGCCAGTCGAATCCGACTCTAGGGTTGCGGTGCTCATCTCCGTTTCAAAGCCGAAGAGCCAGCGCTGTCCGAAGACTGTTTCCGTGGTCATGTGGCCGGCATGACTAAACACCAAGGCACACGGAACGCTGTTACCTTCCCACTGAAGTGGTCCCCATTTATCTACTTGCAATTTCTTGCTTTCAAACTGCTAGGTTGGCAGGAGCTGGAACTAGAGACGGGAGCTCACTCCGTCATGCGGCACACTCGGGTCTCGAACTGCTGAACTACCAACCTTCCACAGCCTGCAGTTCAGCGTCTTAACCACTTGAGCCACCATAGACATAGACTAGCATAAAGCGAGGGGGGGGGATGAAAGAGTAATGGCCTTTATTTCAAATAAACCTCAGCAATAATGTATTTATTTACTCGTTTTGTAGTCAAGCTTTCTCAAAGGGACTCAAGGCAGATGACGCATCGTGAGCCAGCACAATCACAAAAAATGAGACATTCAGTAAGCAATGCAGTAGGCTTGTAGAAGTCTGGAAACCAGAAAGAAGTGACGCATACCATAAGTATTAACTTGACACATTAAGCAGTACAAGAATGATTGAATAGGATCCTACATGCATTAAGCTATACACAGCAGTATAGACCACAGTCCATAATTGTTTCGCCAGGTAAGCTTCTAAACCATCTTGTTACAGTGCAAGCCTATTACCTATGCAGATAAGCCTTCTTGAATAATTCCATTTTGCATTGTTTGCAGAAAGCCAGGTGAGAGTGGGAGCCCTGCTGACCTCCTTAGACAGGCGATTCTATAAGTTGGGAGCCAGAATGGAGCAACCACGACCCATTTTGAAATGGATTGAGGAACACCAGGCTGAAAACTGCAGCAACACCAGGCTGAAGCTTTTAGACATGTGTTTCCAAAACAAGAACTGAACCATCCATTGTTTCCTTTCTCCTAACAGATGTGAAGACAAGTCGAGACCAAAATCCCGAAAGAAGAAACTGAGCATCATAACCAATATTAGCCTGACAACCCTTCCCGTTATGGATGCTGCCCTGGATCATTTTGATAACCCGATTTATACTTACTCTTCCTTCCCAAATGACAGTATCAGCTATGAGAATGTTTCAAAAGAGATTTTATCTAATAATACCAATGATTATGAAAGAGAAACAAGAATCAATGATAGCGTAGTTATTATCATCTGCATTTTCGGAGCCGTGGGGAATGGCATTGTCATCTGGCTTCTTGGCTTCCACATTAGGAGGAATCCTTTCAGCACCTACATCCTGAACTTGGCCATCGCTGATTTAGGGGTCCTCCTCTCAGTTCCATTTATTGTTGCTTATCTGTGGATTGTATATCTTCATATTTTCCCCCTTATGTTCTTAGTGTTCATGTTCCTTTTCCTATCGATGTACAGCAGTAGTCAATTTCTCCTGACGGCTATCAGCATCAACAGGTGTGTGGCCGTCTTCTTCCCACTGTGGCATCGATGCCACCGGCCACCACATTTGTCCACTATTGTATGTGCACTAATTTGGGTCCTCTCCTTCCTGTTTACCGCGGTTACCTACACTCTTCTGTTTCTTAATTTAGAAGAAAAAAAGATGGCAGCGTGTTACCAGTTTATTGTGAACGCCGTGCTGTGCCTCCCGGTCATGACGATTGCCACCGTGTCCCTCGTCATCAAAGTCTGTTTGAAAGCACGACAACATCGGAGGGGGAAGCTTTTGACCATCATCTTGCTCACCCTTCTCTTCTTCCTCCTCTTTGCTTTTCCGTTGAATGTCACAGCCATCCTCGATATTTTCAATTACATACCACCGGACTTACCAGATGTTGCAATAATATTAGCCTGTTTAAATAGCAGTGTAAACCCAGCTATTTATATCCTGGTTGGGAGACAATGGAAGTCTAGGCAGAAGGAGAGCATAAAGGTGGTCTTCCAGAAGATTTTCAAGGAGGAAGAAAGCTGTACTGAGGAAACCCCAGCTGAAACCCAGTTATGATGCCCATTCCAAGTGCCAAAAGCATCTTCCTTTGTCATAGGCAGATTTCATCATACTTCTACGACACATAAGGAAAACCTGTAGGGTTATGGCAGATTCTGTATCAAAGATTTAAAATGAATTATCTGTGTCTAGACAGCCCTATGATATCCCTTGAAAACACATAACACCACTTCAACCAAGAAGAATGGCCTTAGAATGCCATGAGTCATCTCTTGTAATACTTCTTCCCTTCCATAAACACCTCGAATCCAGATATATTCCTCCCACCAAGTCAAAATAAGTAAGCCAGTGCCCCTGAAAGGAGCCATTACAGTGCTAACTTCTTTGGCCTTTCTGCTGTCATTCACCATGGATGTCACATCACCAAGGCTGGATTAAGGCCAATTGATGCTCTAAGCACAGCCCTTCCTAACTGACAAGATGGAAGCGACACGCTCACACTGTGAGATGGAAACAAATGTGATATCTGCCAAAAACTTTACAGTCGAATGTGGCAGATAAGGATAATTACAAAAAAATGACTAAGGTCATATGTGGCAGTGAAAGAGTTAAGGGTGTGATAGCTAGGGGGGATAATCTCTGTGGTGCCCACCTTCCCTTGGTGCCCTAAGCACATGCTGATTTTGCTCGATGGTTATTCCGGGGCTGAACATCACAACCAAGTCATACAACTCATACTTGAATTAATTCCCCAGCATCTCAAGAAACATCTGCTTCCTCGTTCACATCGCTCACTCTTCCCCCCCCCCTTGGTGTAACCTGTGCATTACGACCCTGGGCAGGATAGTTTGCTGAGGATACAACTGGACAGATGTTGACCAGTGGGAAATTAGAGGGGTACATTTGGTACCTACTGGGCCAAGTCAAGTCAAATGTATTGTTACAGTCAACGACCAGTGCACTCAATCATCGTACATAAAAACATTTGAATAATAAATATAAGATAAAACCAATCGTGGCATACTTAAATTTTTAAAACTATGACTATAACATAGAGGTAAAATAAGACAGCCATAAAATTTGTGTATAATTTAGATAAAATATTGAAAAATCTAATTGCCATGCATTTTACGCGCCTTGTGAACCTGGGCACAAAATCTAGCCACCTGTCTTGTTGTCTGGGCAAATTTAGTGCATGTTGGTTGAGCAGGATTTTACTCTTTCTTGTTTAAGCTGTAAAACATATGTGTGCTTGCTCACACGTAAGTGCTTCCTGAGTTCAGTGGCTCTTCCTCCTGAGAAAGCATGTCTAGAACCACAGGCTTCCTCTTTACCTGAAAGGTCCATCTGCCAGATGCTTCTTACTCACATTGTAAGATATACAGCAAAGAACTAAGTAATACTAATGACACAGAAGGACAACATATTCCTTGCACAGACGCTGTACTTCTCAAATTTCCTGTCTACAGCCTTGTTGGTGGCCTTATCTCTACTGCAAATAAAAAGTTGGATATGATGTCTGGCTGGCACTTCTCTCGTCACATAGGCCGAGTTCAGACTGGCAATTTGAAGCGCTAGGGAGTCGTGGCAAAGAAGACCCGGAACATTCCCGGAACGGTTTGGTCGCGGTATTCCCATTCACACTGCAGCAAATGAAGTGGGAGGATACCATGGAGGAAGTGCAAGGGAGCATTTGCACTGTTGGCCCACCCCTGGCGGGCTGTTAGTGGCTGTTTCTGCACTCCGCTGCATGCACCTATGTGCATGGGCGCATTGGTGCAGAGTCACCTGCCGCAAAAACAGCCAGCTGCCTATTATCAATGACTGCGGGTTGTTCCCGCCTTAGCAGCGCTTGCATTCACATGTCAGAGAACCGGAATCAACCTGCTCTACACACAGTTTGCTACCACTTCCACCAGGTACTTGAGTACGGCTGGGGGACACCTGAAAGATGTGCCTGTGTGAACCCACCCCTTTAATCCGCTACTGAAACACTCCTGAAACGTTTGGCTGTCGGGATAGTTTCACATAGGAATAGAAAGCTCATTTGTTCTCAGGATAATAATTTACTGACCTATATCATGTTTCATGAGGGTAGCCATATCGGTCTGCCGTAGAAGAGCAGGATTCCAGTTCAGTAGCCACTCAGTAGACCAAGAGGATTTGGGGAGAGAAAGTTTTTGAGAGTCAAAGGTTTGAAAAGGGATCCTTGACTGAAAAGCTCCTCTCCCCAAATCTGATGAAAATAAAACCTAACTGAAGAAAAGGAGAACAGGTGTAATAAATCAAATACAAGAACGATGATTTTAAAAAAGAGGGGAAAATGAAAATAAAATGAAATAGAACGGTTCATCTCTCTGAAGGGGAACATGAGAAAATCAGATCAAATCTGAAGGTAAGATGGAATAACGACCCCAAGAAGACTTGTAATGGAGATTTCCACACAGAAGGAGTCGGGGTTTCCATTCTTAAATGCAGCATGATAATTTATTTATGTTATTTACTAGCAGTAAAGCCCGTTGTGAAAGCAATACAACGAGATCTAGAAAGAGGCTCTGGGGGAGTGCTCTGGCTTTGGCCAAACAGTGTCAATTTGCTGTGGTGACCTCAGCAGGGTATAATGACAGAGTCCACTGTTTTCTCCAGAGGAACTGATCTCTGCTACCTGAAGAGCAGTTGTAATTGTGAGTGATCTGTAGCCCTCACCTGGAGATTGGCAGCAATTGTTACCCAGGACAAAGTGGCTGGTTTGGAGGGTGTAGTCTATGGCATTCTACCTGTCTGAGGTCCCACCCCTCTGCAAACCCCACCCTCTCCAGGCTCCACCCCTCAAATCCCCAGGAATTTGTCAGCATGTAGTTGGCAACCCCATCTCCTTCCCAGCTAACCATCAACCTACCATTATCTGCCCCTTTGACTTCAGCTGACTTCTGCCCTCCCTTCTGCAGAGCAGTTGTAATTCTGAGTGCTCTCCAGCCCTCACCTGGAGATTGGCAACAATGGTTCCCTATGTGGGACTGACTGGTTTGGAGGGTGGAGTCTATGGCAGTGTACCTGTCTGAGGTCCCACCCCTACTCAAACCTCACCCTCTTCAGGCTCCATCCCTCAAATCTCCAGGAATTTCCCATCTGGAGTTGGCAACCCTATCAGGACTGGCCCCAATGTGTTTTCTCCCAAAGGCCAAAGTAGGTGACAGGACCAAGCTTAGTTGCCTACCAACAGGCATTGAGGGGAATGTAGGGTTGCCAGCTCTAAGGAGGGAAATACCTGGAGTTTTGGGGGGTGGATTCTGTAGTGGGCAGCATTGGGCGGGGTGGGGGGGCGGAAGGACTCAGCAGGTATAATGTCATAGGGTCTACCCTCCAAAGCAGCCATTTTCTCCAGGGGAAACTGATCTCTGTCATCTGGAAATCAATTGTAGCAGTGGGAGATCTCCAGGTCCCACCTGGAGTTTGGCAACCCTAGGGGAAAGTATGCTGCACAGCAGGGGGTTGAAGAGAATGGTTTGATGGGTGTTGGGCCAAGATTGGCAACAATAGTTCCCCAGGAGCAAATAGCTGGGTTGGAGGGTGGAGTCTATGGCACTGTAACCTGTCTGAGGTCCCCATCTCCCTAGGCAGCTTTTAAAACATGATCCTGGGACCTACACACCACCAGACATTCCAACTGCCTTGCGGGGGGGGGGGGGAGTATGAGGTGTGGAATGGAGTGAAGTCCAATCAGCTTCCATATGCAAAAGACCTTGAAGGTTCCATATGCAACTGACATTCCAACTGCCTTGCGGGGAGGGGGGTGAGTTTGAGGTGTGGAATGCAGTGAAGTCCAATCAGCTTCCATATGCAAAAGACCTTGAAGGTTCCATATGCAACTGACATTCCAACTGCCTTGCGGGGAGGGGGGTGAATTTGAGGTGTGGAATGCAGTGAAGTCCAATCAGCTTCCATATGCAAAAGACCTTGAAACACTGGGCGGGACTGCACAAAGCAGCCAGTGAACCCAGCCAGCGTCTTCTGACTGACAGTTCAAGCGTCCATACACTAAAGGAGTGCAATTTATATCTGGGAGAAATCTCTGTGGTGGTCAGGGCTAGTAAAGTAGGCCCAGTGTTAGTCTGATCTCATCCGATCTCAGATGGTAAGCAGGATCAGCCCCGGTTACTATTGGGATGGAGCACCCAGGAAAACCAAGGTTGCTGTGTAGAGGCAGGCAAATTTATTTATGTGTTTATTTATTTATTTGTTTGTTTGTTGATTTGATTTGATTTGTACCCCGCCCTCCCCGTGAGCGGGCTCAGGGCGGCTAACACAGTTGGTACAAAATACCAATGAAACCACGACATCATTTAAAACAATTCAAATACAAATGACATCATACACTCATAAGGTGGGAGTGATCATTCAGTTACTTGGGGTGGCATTCTAAAAATGTTTACAAGCAGACAGTTTCCAGCTCTGTGGTCTTCCCGAATCACTCGATGGTCTGAGCCAGTTGTTAGGGCAGAGGGTCGGGCTCGTTGGCGGTAATAGCGAGGGCGGCTCCTGAGTTGAAAGCCTGGTGGAAGAGCTCCATCTTGCAAGCCCTGTGGGACTGCAAAAGATCCCGCAGGACCTTGATCTCCTCCGGGAGCTCGTTCCTCCAGTAAGGAGCCGCCACTGAAAAGGCCCTGGCAATGACAAACCACCTCTAGTACTGAGATGAGAGACCACCAACGAAGTCCAGAGTCCCTTCACAGAGGCAGGCAATGGCAAACCACCTCTGTATGTCTCTTGCCTTGAAACTCTGTGGGGTTGCCATGACTCCGCTACGCCTTGAGGGTGCTTTCCTCCACCACCACCACTTCCTTCCTTAAAGGCCCAATCTGCATCTAGCATTTGCTCCGTTGTTGTACGAAACACACACTGAGCAGAAAAAAAGATGCGGCTCAAAACCACATTGTTACGCCAAATGCCTTATTTACGACAGATGGCCAACTATAATTTTTAACGTGAGTCTCTGGCCAGCGTTTACGGAGGTCTTGTTTGGACCTGGAATCCAGTAACTGAGACCACACAGGTGT